GGCATGGCAGGGAGCTACTCAGGGGAGCTGAGATCACTGGAATAGGTTTCATTTTGGAAAGTGGTTGGTGAGTGTAAGGGGAACTGATAGAACTTTGGTGTGGAAACAATTACCAAGAAGCCTCCCAGCCACCCATCTGAATGGCACTGCTGCTGAGAGGTGATGCTGGCAGCATTGCAGTGGAGAAACAAGGAATTCAGAGGAGAGACAAGAAGAGACAGAGCCAGATGGCCGTGGCAGGGGCCATGCCCTGTGCAGTCCCTCACCTGTGTGACTGGATTGAGGAATCCCAGCTATGGGATACCAGCCCTGGCGGCCTTGCCTGTCCCTAATCCTGCAGCTCATCTCCTGAAGCACAAGTGTTCATGACTCCTATTAATTTCTCTTTTTGTGTCTTAGAGGTTGTTACAAATGCTGATCAAAGTTTCTTTCTTTGAGTTAGTGATCTGAAAAATCATAAAACATGCCAAGTTGGGAATTAGTGTGGGAGTAACTCAATGACTAAAAAAACTTTGGTGAGTTGACCTTCACATACATTTGTACGCTGTTATTTTGCGATCTACATTTAGATTTTTTTCCACTTAAATCACTGTGCATCCTGTTTCACAAATTCCAATAAACATTTTGAAACATTCTATAAATACAATTCATTATTGTCTTGTAAATGTCTCTGAACTACACCCGTCACAAGGAGAGTGGTTTCCCTAGCAACTAATATAAAAACTAGGGAGGGAAGAAAAGTGCTAAGACTGAACCTATTTGATGAACACATGATACTTCCCATTCTGAGGTACTATGAAGTTTTTATTGCCACTTGTTTTGTAATACTGTCCTACCAGAAAATGTGGCTCCATATGTTGTACATGACATCCCTCAGCTCTTTCTTGCAGAGGTGGCAGCAGGCAGCAGTGTGTCAGTGCTTGCCTCTGCAGGGGAGGTTGGTGGTCCCTGAAACCCAGTCCAGAGAGCAGCAGAGGCCGGTCATGCAGCAAAGCCAAGCAGATGTCAGTTATGTGAAAACATAAAGGAATCTTTGCCAAAAGTGTCTAAGCCACTAAGTTCAGGCAAGAAAATTCCTATTTGGCACCCTAGTTTTTTAAACAAATGTAGAGAACTGATGGGTCCTGCTGAAATACAGCTTATAGTAGTGGTCAGCAAAGGGGATGATGTATGGAAGGGATGCTGAAGGGTTCTTTACAGTCTGCAATGAAAGAAATTAAAAGTTCCTGGAAAAAGGAGCAAGGCACCTTGAATATATACATATCTAAAACTGGGTCCAGCCCCGCAGACAAGGACTTAGGGCAGCTGGTGTATTGGACACGACCTGGCAGTGTGCATATGCAGCTCAGAAGCCCAAATGTTTCCTGGGCTGCATCAAAAGAAATGTGGCCACAGGTGGAGGAGCAGGATTCTCCCAATCTACACCATTCTCATGAGATCCCATGTGAAGTCTTGCATCCAGCTCCATACAACACAAGTGCAAGGCTGGTGCAGTGCAGGGACTTAGGTCTGAAGAGGGACCGCCTGAAGAGTGCAGAAGGTTGCACATGACAGTTGTGGTCCTTGGGATCATCCATCCACACCTTCCGCAGTCCCACAGGCTTGAACAAGCTGTGTATCTAGGAGGGTTGAAATGCCACCAAACCAGAATGGCAGCGAGGCAGTCAGTAAGAGGAGCTGATAGCTTTTATTAGATCCATGAAACAGTGGTGGGAAATAAGACTGTTAAATAAAAAGGAACAAAGACAAGCCTTCAGGTACGAAAGCCCCTTCTGGGGCCTGCAAGAGGAGCTAAAGTGAGACCTGTTGTGGTAGCACTTTTAAGGTCTGAGTTGCCACAGGGGTGGAGAATTGGACCCATTGCAAGAGGAGGGGCGAGCAGGGACATTTGAACCCAGTCACCGTAATGGGTACAGGTTAAAAAACATGTCGTTGTTGCAGTAGTTGAGAGAGACTTGGTGGCCTGCCCCACCCCTGTCTCCTGCGCTTCCCCTCGGAGGCAGCGAGAGCTGTGGGTGAGGCTGTGCCGCACTCACCGTGGGGCAGGGCCCTGCCTGAGGCGCGGGCTGGGGCGGCAGGCAGAGGCAGCCACTGCTGCAGGCCAGCGGGGATTTCACCCCACAGGATCCATCTCCCAAAGGGCCCGTGCCAGACCTGAAGGGGTCATGGCCACCCTGTGCCACGGGCAGGATGTGCTGGGTGCTGAGGTGGGTGCACTGCTGGGGAGAAGGGGCTGTGCTGGGCACAGCAGGGACACTGCACAGCCTCTCGGCTCTGGGCGTCCCCCTGAGGGACAGGCTCCGGCTCCAGGTTGGTGGCTCCCTGGAGGCCCCATCCTCCCCAGCTGTCCTTGGGTATGGAAGATGCCCAGAGCAGCTGCTCAGCGTTGGCTCCTGGGAGCTTTTGCTTAAATGTCCCCTGAAATTAGCAGGTGGCATGTGAGCATCCGGGTTGGAAAGAAGCAAAGGCAAAGGCTCCTGTGTCGGCATTGCACCTGCTAAAGACTTGGGAAAGCAAGGCATGGGTTAGTAAAACAAGGTGTGGCATAGCACCTCTCCTCTGTGAGCTGCTTACAAAGGCACTCAACTAACACGATGGTTGGGTTTGATGATCTTAGTTAGATGTCCCTTCCAACCTTGACCATTCTGTGGCTCTGTGAACACAGGTAACAAAGCAGATGGCATAGCAGAGTCTCCCCACCATAGCGGGGGTGCCCATGGGCTGTAGGGGCAAACTGAACAAGGCTCCCAGCTCTTGGCTCTGCGTTTGTTTCACCAGTTTTTGCCCAAGGCCTGTTTTACACTGAAAGAGTTGTTTAGACCTTGCATTCACAGCCCTTTGGGTCCACTGCCAGCATATACTGAAGAAGGACCTAAAAATGAAATTATGCTAATATATTTGACACCACTGGTTTGGGTTTTCTTCTATGGAGAATGGAAAAGCTAAGTATGATCATTTTATACTGATTGTTTTGAAGTGATCTTTTCACTACAAAAATATTCCTTGTCAGCTTTTCTAGAGTCTATTTCTAACTAATAAATTTTCTTATCTTTACATTTTTTTACCCCACAAACAGAAATTTCATTCAGGTAGGTATCAGCACACAATAATTATTCTTCTGGGTCTTCTGTTCTGGATATTTCACAACTTCTTTAATTGCTCCAATTATTGGATTATAATTATGCAAACTTTAATTCCTTTCAGAACATTCATTTCTAATGAGTGATTGCAGGTCTTTCTTCTTTATAATTCTGCTTTTTTATCCATTTAATTATAGTGGTTTTGCAGACTGCTGGAACAGCAAAGTGCCTTTCAGTTGTTCTCCACTCATCATGAGAAAAAATTCCAACAATTTGGTGTAGGACCCAGCCCACCCTCAGCTACAGACCCGCCACAGATGCCATAGGGAGAGCATCCTATAAATCACTTGTTCTATTTTGGGCTCATACCTTTTTCTGAAGTTCTACTCCCTGATTTCTTGTGAGCACATTAAAACTGAACCTTTTCAGTATACATTTTCCAGATTGAACACATTAAAACTGAATCTTTTTGGAATATATTTTTGCAGATTGAGTGACACAGGTTCTGTGTGAAAAATCAGACTCCTGAGTTAGTTTTATCACAGCTAGTTTGGCAAAACAGGAATATGATGGGTTATGCCCAAGGAAAACCTGCTGGAGAGCCGTGAACTGGAAACCCAATGAGGTTAAATGGCCTAAGTCTGACTGTACAGAATCAAAACATCCAAAGACCAGGCTCTACTATTAGACACTTGTGACATCTTTAGTCTCTTTCTAATCCCACACAATTGAAAGTCTCAGGAAGATGCTTTAGGAAGGGAAAGATGAATACATGTCTATAGGAAACTTGACCTAAGCAAGTAGGCTCACCAGTAGGCTCAGTTATAAAAGAAAGAAAGCCATGTGGCTCAGTCATATTTCCTAGGTAGAAACTATTTCAGTGTTCATGGAAACATAGCTAAACCAGTGATAGGAAAAGCATTATTGCTGTATTTGTTGGACAATTAGATTAGCTGGTTTTTCTTATGCTTTTGTTCCCAGGCACTTGTGTCAAGAGGTTCTGGTTTTTAATGTCCTCCTGAGTATTTCCAGTAGAAATAGCTGCAGCTTCTAAATTCACATTCTATTCAAATGGGTTTAACTTCCTGTGTGCACATTTTATCTGCTTCTTGGGTTCCCAGATCCCCTTGCTTCTCCATGTCATCCACTAAAGAAATCTGTCCCCACTGAGAGCAATTATCCCTTCTGTCTGTGGCTGAAAGGGCATGGATTACTACCTCTAACACCAGGTTGGGGGAATGCACCACCCCTAATACATCAAGAGACACTGCATGTGAATACTGGTGATGACAATTGAGTTTAACACAGCCTTTGCAACGAAAGTCACTGGGATCCCCTCCATCAGTTATGCAGCAGTCCCAAGGATCTCTGGAGATGCTTTCACAAGTGTTTCCACACCCGTCACAGCTGGTGTTTTACCATCAATGCTTCAGAAAGTTCTTCAAAGCACTCTGCTGCCTTCAAACCAGGCAAACCAGGTACAGGTTATGTACCCTCACCTTTTATTGCCGAAACTCAAGGGGAACAAGCAGAGGTGGAGCATGCCTTTCTCTTTCTTGGTAGTGCCAAGAAATAGGACAAAAGGCGATGGGCAGAAACTTATGCACAGGAAGTTCCACTTGAATGGTGATGAAACTTAGCCTGCCCTGCAGCCCTGCTTTGTTTACCAGTGTAGATGCAATCTCCTGCTGCTACCAGGCACAAATTTGCTCTGGAGAGGAGATGCTGGCTGTGGATGATAGCGCTAAGAAGAGCAGGATGCTCAGGACAGCCCTGGTCCTTCTTGGCCTGATCCTGGACATGCAGAATGTGGAGATGTAAAGCCTGCTCCCACCCAGACCCAAAGCCCAGACAGCCTCCCCCATGCCTTGAACCGCAGATCGCTTGACCAAAATGTTGTTGATCAACAGCAAGAGTTACCTCAATCTCCTGGACTCTTTTTAGTCTTAGAGAAGATGAAGAGAAAGCTGTCTTTGCTTTTTGGATTGATCTTCTTGCTTCTGCTTCTAGTTTTGTTTCTGGACGTGGGTGGTCGTGAGCTCCTTTGGACTTTAGAAAGTAATTATGGTATATTAAAGGTAGAAGCAACCTTGTTAATAATAAGGGAACAGAATTTATACCACAGGCCAAAATCACATATTATGGCCTAATTTAATGCTTTGTATTTAATAGGATTTAGTTACTGTGAGGTGAAATAATAAACATATCCCAGATGAAGTGGGATGGGGTAGAAACCCTCTGAAATCGTAAAATAATGTGCACCACATTTATTTGTAGAAAACAGTCCCCCCAAAGAGCCCCAGCTGAAGCCAAAAAGTCTTCTGCAGCTTGGCTACAGTGTCCCTGCAGTCACTTTAATTTGTCTTACAGTTTAGACGTATTTATCTGAACATTAATTTCCATTAGCTTCCACAGAGAATTAATTTTATTTAGCCTGCACATAAGTGAAAGAGTGGAAAACAGGAAAATGGTTATGCTACTAAACCAGGACTACAGCTTCCAGAAATAGTGCCCATTATTTAAACACTTTCATACACTGTGTTCCAGATATAAGTTACATATAATGCATAGATGGCCTTTTCCATAGACAGTCCCTTGGGTACAACCATTTCCTATTCCAAGACTCCCTCTCAATTATGTGTAGTTCCTTGGAGAAGGAGAAGAGATAATATGGTATTTCTGACTGCTGAGGATTTGTTGGTTCCTATGTACCTGAGGCAAAACACTTCCAAATCAACAAGTTTTCACAGAAGCCTAAATAAAAAATGCACTGTGCTGTAAAATCATAGTAGCATAGGTTAATTTAGGCTGGAAGGGCACTCTAGCTCAACCTCCTGCTCAGGCAGGACTAACTTCAGAGTTAGATCAGGTTGTCTAGGACCTTGTGAAATTTTTTTCTCCTTACTTATTTGACCTTGTCATATTCAATAACCTCTATTTTTTGGGAGAAAAAAAAATTGAAAAGCTAAATAAGACTTTAAATACCAGTCTTTAAAATTAACTTACATAATGTTAAGGAATTTTATACCAACCTGGAAAAATATGAATTGGCCCTCATGCCTCCAGAAGTTGGTAACTGGGTAACCACCATGGCCTCGGCAGGAAAGGAGCCGCAGTGGTCCACTGCAGTTTGGACAGCATTTCCCTGGAACAAGGATAGGGGGAAACATTCTCTATACAACATGTGATACAATGGTTCATTGGTGGCAGATTGCCACTTCTGGTTTGGTGCTCTTTCAGAAGAAATTACACTGAGAGAAACTATGTGAAAAACTTCCAAACATAAGCAAAAATCAATATAAACAAACTTATCATTGACTTTATTCTGTCTGTTATTAAATAGAACCTTCAAAAATTATTTCTATTAAAATGTTATTACAATTTTATCACAATTTTATCATTTATTATCATGGTCAGTTTTAATTTTTCTCTTGTCAGAGTTTGGAATGTCATATATGTTTCTAGAGAACACTGTTCTGGCTTCAGTGAGTACCTGAGTTATACCTTTCTTTAGCTAAATTGCTCATCAGATCTAGAAATCAGTATGCACTAGCTCTACTGAGCAATCACAATTGTTTGGAATGGTGTTGTTAAAAATGTGTGTGCAGCTCATGTTCTCTGTTTGCATTGTCTGGCTCCAGTGACGTGACTGTGGGGCCTATTTTCCAGTCATCACAGTTTATGAGCAACTTCTTTCCTGCAAGACTTTTCTCCTGAGCTACTCTTGGGCCAGTGCAATAGTGAAGTTGACACGCAGGTGGGCAGGAACAGCAGGGCAGTGCAGGAACTCTCTGCACTGCACAGCTTTCTCAGCACCCTCACTAATGGGCCTGAGAAGGCTGGGAACCAATGCCTAACCAGCAGAAAGAGAGATTTAAAAACTTTTAGGGGAAAAAAAAAAAAGAAAATAAACAAGCAGATGACTATGCCCCAACAATAAGAAGTGTAAAATGCTGTGTTCCAAATCAAGAATTGCATTGGAATATAAGGAATGGCAGAAGGAAGGCTGGGTAATCCAAAGGGTATCCTATACTTGGATTTCTGCTCTGTATGAACTGCCATACAATGAACTGTCATGTTTGTACTCACGCTGTTGTTTTTGCCTGGCTTTATCACATATGGCTGGTCTTAGGTAGATCTTCCTTCCATCCAAGGTAGAGCAGTTGTTACCACAAACCACCACCCCAAGGCAGGACTTTTTTAAGATGCGAGAGTTGTGGTTGTTGGTGTTTCTCATTGCCCAGCTGCTGTGGTGCCTCTGAGCATTTTTATCCTCTGAGCTATAGATATGTTTTACATAGGAATCTGGCCATTCTTGAAACCAGTCTGTCTGGCTCACATGCTGTGGAAAAAGCAAAGCAAGCCATATTTTAGGCTGGGGAAGAGAAAAGCTTGTCCAGGAGCTGAGCAGAGCTGGACCTCTCCTGAGTTTCCTCCAGCCTAGGTGACTCTAGCATCCCAGCAGGTGATGCTGGTTGTCAGGAGAGAGCAGTGGAGATAAGGCAGGAAAAACATGGATCTCTGTGGCTCCCCACAGGCCCCAGAGCATCAGGAAGGCCTGGCTAGGGGCTTGTTCTCATTCACCCGACCAACCAATCAAAAATAATAAAAAATACTAAAAAACCCTCAAAAACCTCCCAAACCCCCAAACAAACAAAAATAAAACAAAACAAAAACAAAGAAAATAAACAAACAAACAAACAAAAACCCACAAACAAACAAAAAAACCCCTAAACAAACAGCAAGCCTCAAGGACAACAGAGTAAGGAGCAATAAAAATAAAACTGGGAAAAAAACCCCAAATACACATCACATCAGTGTACACCAGTGGGTACAGTCAATACAGTAAAATGCAGTAAGCTGTAAAGCATCTACCATACCTGATTATGATTTTGAGGGAAAAGTTCTTAAAATAAGGGATACAAAAGCTTAGTAGAAATTTCCTTTAAATTGCTAATCCCAGGACTGAGAGCCGTGACAGCAGTAAGAACATCAATCAAGAAGAGAAAAATTCCCATGCTCCCCTAGTAGCCACTGGATAGTGTAGGGAAGGGTGTCCATGATGCCTCCAGACTGAAATGCAGGTGAAGGTGACCTTGGGCTGAAGGGCAGGGGACATTCTGGAACATAGAGGCTTTGGGCAAACAGCACTGTTACAGTAGGGAGGAGGCTGGGATCCAGTAAGAAGGCAGGGCTGGGAGCTGAAAGGCAGAGCTGCATGCTGAAGGACTGCAGCAGGAGGAATCTGGCAGAAATCTGCAGAGCTGAGGGACAGGGAGGTGACGTCGATGTGCAGGGTGTGGGCTTTCAGTGGAGAACATGGTTGAAACTCTCAGCTAAGAGAACTAAAAAAGCACAGAGAGAGGGCAAGATGACTATTGTGCCTCTCAGCAAACCTGTAAACATGAAGCAAGGTTTCCCTAGGTGCTCCTGAAAATACTTGCCTCCATGTAAGAAGACAGCTCTGGAGCTGGAGCCCAATCTGCAATGAGACTGAACACCCGCAGTAGCAAGGCAGTGGTGGGTGCTGTGCTCCCTTCTCAAAAAACACCACCCAGGGCAAAAAGCAAGTCCTGGACAGCTCTGATTAAGTGCCCATAGCAGGAGGCACCTTTTTTTCCTCTGCTTTCTCTGCACCTAATCCACCAGGGAAAACAATGCCTTTGCAGCGTTGCCGTTTTTCATGCATCAACAACCCTTTCAATAATACATTTAAGGAGAAATGCATGGAAATGTCAATATTTTCTCAATATGTTTTAGCAAAATTCCCCCACACCTTGAGGTGACAATGAGAATAAAGGCAATGAGTCACAGATGACTGAGAAAGCGTTTAAGATCAGTGGTGGAGATGACTGGTCAGAACTAAATAAATTTCTACGACACATGCACATACCTGAGGAAGTTTGATGTCATTGATATCCCAACTCGTCATTTCTCCATGTCGGGAAGCAGAGTCCTCCTGCTCCATAACAGAATCATCTGCATCTTTCAGCATTTTTGAATTCCTTCCCAAAGTTAGCAAGAAAGTTGCTCCTGGCTGCTTTTGAAGTTGCCTGGCTGTCAGCAGTCTCAAGCAGTTTACAACCAGGAAGCTGTTTCCTGAAGCTAAATGATAGAGAGGCTGCTCATTAAAGATAAAAATCAGTGTTCTTCTGCCAGAAAAACTTGTTCCATTAAAAGTTTTGCAAGCCAGCAAGGCAGTGGAAAATATAGCTTAGAGATAGCCTGTGATGTTACAGAGACATCATTAGCAGCAAGCAAATCGTGCTTGTGGCATCTGATTTGCTTTGCTCAATCTCCTCTCATACCATGTTTATAGCCATGTAACTCTGCTCACGGGCTCTTTGTACATCTGATCCAACTCTGGCTCTGGATTCCCGGAGCCAAACTGACTGAACAGCTCAGCAGCTGTTGAGGGGTCTTTGAGACGCTCCTTACCTATTAGATATTTCTCACTCTGCATGTGACAAAGATGGCAAAAGAGGGCTCTGCTCCAGCATTTCAGAAGAAATGGTGCTCCACCATTTCAAATATTGCTGGTATCCCTGAGAGTTTACCAGTTGCACCAGGGAAGTATAGAAAAGGAGGTTGGGCTATCTGCATTTTCCTATTTCAATGGCAGACTGAAAAAAAACCCCACCAATGTATGTTTGTTAAAACCAACAGGTTTTCCCTGAATTTTTTTTTTAAGTATGTGGCTGCCCTACTCTGAATTTCAGTACCAGCCAAGCTTAATAAAATACTGTGTTGGTTTTGTCTGGGGTATAATTAATTTTCTTCGCTGTGGCTGATATAGGGCAGTATTGGATTTGTTATGAACACAGGGTTGATAATACAGAGATGGTTTTGAGTTTGATCCTCAGGGATCCCATGCATGAAAAACTTTGTTTCCTTTGTTAAGAAGAGAAAAGGTGAATAAGTTTTTGCTTTCTGGAAACTGGAAAGTTTCTGTGTTTTCAGGAAGGTCACTATAGTTATGCCAGTTAAGGATTTATTAAAGACTACTGAGTATTGAGAGAAATAAAATCTACCTGATAGTCTAGTACATAGATTTTCAAAAGCATAATGTATTTCATTGCTATTTCTGGCTCTGCATATACGTATGGCCCTCAGAAAGTGACTTAGCCTCCATGTCCTTAGTGTACTTGTTTATAAAACATCTGTGATCTTACTTTCTCATGTTACGTTATCACCTCTAAAGGAAGACTTTGAGGATTTTTGCAGAGCACTTGAGACGTTCGGCCATGTGATTCTCTGGCATCACAGTCAGAGCACCATTACCCCATGTGGTGGCTCAGATTGTGGGGGAAAAAGAAGCAAAACACCCTCCACAGAAACAGACTCCCACAGAGGGGGCCTGGTAGTCAGCACCAAATTCAGGAATCTGAACTGAGGGCACTGTACTGGGAGGGCAACCCAACAGATTCAAATGAGATGGTATTACAGAGGAGAAGGGAACACAGTAAATCAGTAATAAAAACCTCGGTAAGAAACATTAGGTCTCCATGTATTTTCCTACTGTACTACAATGAAAATGGAGATAGTAAGGTCAGGACAAACAAAACACAAGCTGCATTGGAAAACTCAGTTGAATTTGCTAAACAAATCACCCTTGACTACTGTGTGCTCTAAAACATTAATTGATTTGTTACACAATTCAAAATTATAGCTGCATTGATTTTAAAATTACTTTTCTAAATGAGAGAAAAGTAAGAGCTTGGAAATTGATTTTTAATTTTATTCATTAGAAAAAATGGAATATTTCTTCTTTATACTATATTAATAGGTAATTTCATCATAATGCACACAAAAAATGAAGTTCAAGAGAATCATACATATTTAACTACTTATAGGCAAAGCCTTCCACTACTTATTTCTCTAGACTCTTGTGCTACAGCATTACGACTAGTGTTGCTGTGATATATCATGGAAGTCAAACACTAGGCAAGACAAAGTCAAAAACATAGGAAAGAAATAATATTTGAAGATCTGCTATTTAATTCTTATTTCTATATAACATCTGAGATAGGTTACAATACATTTGGAAAGAGATTTAAGCCATATATTTTATGACTTAATTAGCAAGGATTTGGAAAATTTCCTCTATTTTCCTTACAAGTACTTGGTGTTGACCACTTAGGAAAAGGATTATGAATTTTTAAACTAAATTAGGTTTATTACAAATTTACATGAGCCTATAGGTTAAATTAATTCAATATTGTCTGTGAAATTGTATTTGGAAGGACAATCTGGCAAACCACAAACATAGATTTCAGCAGTTCTTCAGCAACCCTCTACAACAAGAAATTGAGGAGTAAAGAAGGCCTGGAGCTGTAAAAGGCTTCTCGAACTCAGGCTCCTGCTCTGGAGAGGGCTGTGCAAAGCCCGCAGAGCAGCACCGAGGGAAGCAGCTGTCCCTGCAGGGGCTGCCTGCTGCTGTCCCGCTGCCAGGCTCGGCTGCAGGAGCACCTGGATGTCACCTGTCACAAAGCAGTCTCCAGATCAGGCTCCTTTCTTGCATCGTTTCACCAGCACACAAAGAGCGTTCTTTAGGCAGTGCATCCATCAGTCTCCCTTTTGCTCTTTGGTGTCATCTTTCAGTGATGACAACCTTTAAGTGACGTCAGGTGCAGTCAGTGGAGCTTTACCTGGGCTGAGTTACCTGTCCCACAAATAGCCTATGATGCACTGTCTTCCACGGCTGCCTTTGTGCCTTGCCTCAAGTTCATGGTTTTCTCTGACACTCAGAGTTTCACCCTGCTGTGGGAGCTCTCCTGCCTCTCCTCCACTGCCACTGTTTGCCTTTGCATGCTTCTTGTCCCACTTCTATTGCTGCAGAGTTTCATGGTGCTGCTCCACAAGAACCAAGGAACATGCACGTTTATACCAAGATGCTGCTGATACTCCTTGAGGAATACTGCTCCAGACTGGCCTTTTTATCTTTTTTTCAAATACATTCTGTAAACTTAAAAATAACAACAAGTTTATCTTCCAGTTCATCCCTTTTGTTTGATAACTGTGGCAGCAGGATGAAGCAATACGATTATCCCCAGATGCAGAGCATAATCTCACTGAAAATAGATGTGTCATTTATAATGAGAAGACAGTTTCTGCCTGTGGAAAAATGCACTGGAGATGCTGTGTATTTTCAATAAGCACTAAGACAAACTTTTGTTTTCAGATTGTCCTGATATAGCCTCAAGTTGGCTGCCTCTGTATTCAACATAACTTGAAATGCTTATGCTATCTTCAACTGTTCAGTATCCAAAAGTGGAAGCTTCTCCCCTGTGATCTGGGTCTTGGAAGATGTATGTATTTTGAGATGGAAATACTTATAAATTCTTGGTTGATTTTGTTTATACTTAGTTTCTCTTTAATTCTTTTCTCAGAACTGTTATTTTAATGGCCCTTGAGATCTGTAACAGTTAATAAGCTCATATTTTTGTTCAGTTACCACACTTCTGAATTCTGGACTGCTCTGGATAAGCAGTTGTAGGTGGTGTAGTTATCCTGGCTTTGCTGCTTCAGTCACATCCAGTGAACAATTTTTAAAAAATACTTTTTAAAAGAAGTTTTAGTTCCCTACTTTTTCCAAACATCCTCTTTCTAGAGCACTTTCTCAGGTGACATAGTCTGCAGGCTTCTCCGGTTGCCACATCATGTAACACAGACATATCTACACCACAGATTGTAAACCAACAAGATTAGCAGAGAGTTCATCTCAAAGCTCAAACACTGATCAATATCTTGGCCTCTTTTCTTACATCACTCCTGCCCTCGGGCTCAGGCCACTGCTCAGTACAGACACTCAGGGTGTCTGTGGCAGAGAGAATAGGGACAGGCGATCGGAAGATCTCGGGCTGTCACGGAAACCTGATAGGGCCTCTCTCCCCTGACTCCCAGAGATAAGGATAGCCGCAGGACAAGAGGCCAAGAATGTTGTAACCCCCCACTAACACGGCCTCCGCCCAGTCCCCTTACTAACCATATAAGGTAAAAGTCAGACCCCGAAGGTAGGGGAAGGACCAAGGGTATATATACCGAGGAGAAAACCAATAAAGGGCCTTTGGACCGTCTATCACACTGATGTCTGCGTGTCCTTAGCCCGAGCGGCCAAAAGCATTAGGCCGTCGTGCTGCGTTTCCTTGGAACCAGGTCGCTACAACAGTGTCTCTGCCAGAGTGCTTGGGAGGTGCTGTGTGTTCCTGCCTGTGCTGCACAGACCAAGGATGCACACATGGACCATCTGCTGTGGGGATATTCAAATCCTGCTCTTGGAATGGTAATTTCTTGAACAGCTCTTACTCAGCTGCCTGCAATCATCTTAGTTTTTCCTCTGTGTCAACTGAACAGTCTTTTGGCTGCAATATTCTAATTTTTCATCTTCTATTTTACTTTGCTGGCTATTTGCAGCAGAGAGATGCAGCTGGGGGCATGATTTTTCAGAGTCTCTACCACATGAGGTTCATGTCCACACACTTGGATTGCACAGAGTAAATATTTTTGCCAGGCCTCTCAGTCCCTCTTCTTGAGGACACTGATATTCATCCACATCTGAATCAGCTTCCAAGCTGTGTTCTCAGCTGAGAGCCTGGTAGTTGAACAACTTACTATTGAACAGAATAGAATCAATACTCTGTTAATTTTTTTGTCCTTTTCTCCAGAACAATGTTTTAGTACCAAATTCTAGGAATGTGTCTTTTTCTGCCATGTGAAGAACATAGCTCCAAGTGAAAGGTTTGAGACCTGAGCTCATTTTAATAATTGTTTGTAATGCTTGAATATATAAAAAATACATATTTCCCTTTATTTCTTGGTATCTCTTTATTAAAGCTGTGAGCTATAGTTTTTTGGCAGTGAAGTCTAGTTTTTTATTTACTTTATTGACCTCTTTATTTTTCTGTCTTAACATATCAGACACTCTGCAAAACATGTGATGCTCTAGACATCATATTAATTTACTGGGGTAAAATTCATTATAGCTATTCCACAGGCATTCAGTCCTTTTGTCTCTTGATCTGATATTCCATTTTTCATCTTGTCTTTGCGGCTGGTATAAATACACTTAATTTTGCAGCTCTGCCTGGC